GAGACGCGCTGTTGTCATGGACGCGAGTGACGCGCATGCGCAGTGACTGATTACGGAAAGCAGAGATGTGATGTTCCCCAGACGCGTTCGGGATCAAACATTGACGCACTTACAAACAAAACATTAATATTTACCAAGATGAAATTAACCCGGAAACTTGTTCTGGCTCGGGCTAAAGCATCGGACCTGGAAAGTGTGAAGAAATTAAACTGCTGGTGTGTGTTCTGCGGTTTGTTAGCTGCTAGCCTGATGAAAACCAGTCGTTTAGTTAAGACTTCTCCTTCAACATTAGTCTGTGTTGTTGGGTTTATCCTGTGTGATGAGATTTCCTGAATAACTGTACTGTATTCTCTAATAACATCTTCGTGTGTTTCAGGGGCTGTAATCTGACAGACGTGAGTACTGAATCTTTTTTCTTCTTTTTAATGTTTAAAATCTCATTATATTACAAATGAATACCATTATATTGCATCACTGTTATCTATGAAAGACTACACAAGACGAAAAAGGCTTTGATAAATCGAAAGTATGGCATACCAATCATAATTACGATTACAATGATATAAAGACATCATTTTGACTCAGTATGTCAATTTACAATTTTTATCTTAGAAATAATATGACTTTGTAATGTCATAATTTTAGTGCTGTCAAATAGATTAATCGCATCGAACATAAAAGTTTGTTTATAGTTTGTGTATTTGAAAGCACTATTTTTTATGATTTACAAAAGCATGATTTCTTTTTTATGTAGCGTAAATGGGCTTTCATAGTTAGCATTGGTAATACTGTGGTACTGAATGATTTCCATATTCATATTCCATAATACAATTGTAATCAAAATTATTCAATCCCCCATTGCAAATCAGGTTTATTGGTAAAATATAGACGTTCAGCTGTTTGCGATGAACAAATCAACAGAAATAAAAAGTAATTGAAAGTGTTTCCCCCAAATCCAACTGAAAATGCAACTTTTAATGACTTCATCAGTCTTATAATTATTCAACCCCTGAATATAATCTCCCACAACAGCACAGATCTGTAGAACAGGTGTTGTCTCGCTAATCAAGGGCTTCATGAGCGGCACCAGGTGTGCTCCAGCTAGAAAACATGACATATCTGAGTAGCGATATGTCAATAAATTTGACTGTATTTTAGATATATGGTCAAAAAAATAATCCCAAAAGTAATTGATTCATTTCGATTACAACTGTATACCCATCTATTATATGACTATATATATAAATAAGGTAAATAAGTGTTCATTTCTTCACAGATCTCCATATTTGAGCAGATTCCTAATGTCGAGGTTCTCACTCTGAGGTTTGTTTTCAGCTTTCTGGGAATAATCAATTATAAATCTCACAAGCACCAGCGCTACATTCTTCTCAATGTCATAATCATTTGTTAACGAACAAATATTCATTACTTCAATGAGCTCATTATTTCTGCCTTAAATTATTACGTTCTTTAAATGAATTCAGTGTTATCTCTCTCAGTGCGAATCACATCTCGTCTCTGGAGCCGATCTCGTCCTGTCAGCATCTCAGCGAACTCTACCTGCGACGCAACGACATCCGCTCGCTGTGTGAACTCCGGCATCTGAGGGGTCTGGGTTACCTGAAGGTCCTGTGGCTCGCGGAGAACCCGTGCTGTTACACTAGCGACCCGAGCACATACCGGCTGACCGTCATCAGGACCCTGCCCGGACTGCACAAGCTGGACAACCAGCGTAAGAGCAGCGGCCGCCGCCTCTACGTCACACTGGAGAAAATACGGCCAATGGAAACACGGCAATTTCGCTTCACTGTCAAAATAGTTTCTAGGGGCTTCGCAGGTCAAATTGGAATTTCAACTAGTAAGAAATCTATTCTTAATATCAACTATTGGTTTTGAATGGCAGCCTATGGTGATATTTCACTAGTGAAAATACAATTGTTGATATCAAGAATTCATATCCTGGAAATAAATAAAAGTTAAAACGGTTTGCCATAGACACACACACGTCTCCACATCGAAGCTAAAGGGTTAGTTCACCCAAAAATGAAAATTCTGTCAGTATTTACTCACCCTCATGTTGTTCAACCCCGTAAGACCTTCGTTCATCTTCACAACACAAATTAAGATATTTAAGATATTAAGATCGCTCCTGCATACTAGTCCATAGGCTTCTTGAGGGAATGACTCGAAAAGTCATTAAAGACATCGTTAAAATAGTCCAAGTGACTACAGCGGCTCAATCTTAACTTTATCAAACGACGAGAATACTTTTGTGCGCAAAAACAACAAAAATAACGACTTTATTTCAACTATTGGTTTATTTCTCCCTCTGCGCGAGTCAGGTTACTAGTTTAATAGCGTAAGCTTCTGTTATTGTTACACGCATCACACACACATGACCAGCGTCGGCCAATAGTGAGCCTTCGTTTGACGTAGCTTTACCCAATCACACTACGCTAACTGACTACAGGCTCATGGAGAAGGAAGTGAATAGTTGAAATAAAGTCCTTATTTTTGCGCACAAAAGTGTTCTCGTCGTTTGATAAAGTTAAGATTGAGCCCCTGTAGTCAAATGGACTATTTTAACGATGTCTTTAATGACTTTTCGAGGACAGCAAGAGTCATTCCCTCAAGAAGCCTATGGACTAGTATGCAGGAGCGATCTTAATATCTTAAATATCTTAATTTGTGTTGCGAAGATGAACGAAGGTCTTACGGGGTTGAACAACATGAGGGTGAGTAAATACTGACAGAATTTCCATTTTTGGGTGAACTAACCCTTTAATAATAATGTCCGGCGGCGGCTGGGATATACATAATCCCAACATCCGTCGCCATGATGATTGGAGTGATTTTCGCGAGAGGAAAAAATCACGTTTTAGTCGCGTAACATTTCGCAATCATTTTTTGTTGGCATTTAGAGAAAAAAAAAAAAAAAAAAAAAAAAATCGCAAAAGTTTCGCGTAAATCTGTCATAGTAACGCACCTAGTGACGAATAAAGCTCAAAGAGTCGCATCTCCATTTATACAGCGCTTTAACGAGATTACAGTCACAGAGAGTGTTTGACTTTACAGCAGATCTAGAATAAAGTTAGTCTGCCAAACCAAAAATGATTCAGACACCAGATATAATCTATTGTATAGTGTGTGTATAGAGTTCATTTCTATAAGTGAGGAGAGCAATATAAAGTAAACTGTGACATATTTCGTGTGTGAGAGGACGGACAATATTCCAGTCAAATTTCATCACCATTGTCTAAACTATCGCGATTAAACTGTGATAATGTGACTGAATAAGTTTAGGTTTGACTGTATATATGAATATTCATGAGTTTGTTCTGTCAGTGGTTACAGAGGAGGAACTGGCACAAGCATTAAAGGAAGGGGAGGAGCTCGTGAGCCCTCCAGGCCCCGCCCCCACCAGCTCAACCAATGGCCTTACAGAAGCAGAGTCCGAGAACGACCCTCTTAATTACAGTATGGAGGAAACCAAGTAAGATCTGCGCTGTGTTTCTGTTGTGTGGATGTGGAGCTGACTCACACTCTCACACTGATGTGTGTGTGTGTGTGTGCAGTAAGATCCGTGCTCAGCTGGGAATGAAGCTTCTGCCGAGAGACAAGTTCCCCTCGCTGGCGTCCCCGAGAGAGGCCGGAGACAAGAGAAAGGTACGAACGCGAGAATAGCAGCGCACAACATTTTCTTTTAAACACATGGAGAATATTATTACATTCTGAACACTGTGAATATTTCCTCGCTATGAAAGCCTTGCAAAAGATTATGGATTTCCGACTGTACATGAAAGTTGAAAGTAATTTTTTGTTTAAGAGAATTTTGATTTAGTAGTTTAAAAAATGTTTTAGCAAATTAAACTAAAGTGTAATTTAGTTAAAAGTAACTTTTTTAAGAATTGACTTGAATATGAATGTGTAAATTGATAAAGCATTGCATACTCTGATTACATGCATTAGTTGTAACGTGTTACTCGTTCCATCTAAAGTAATGTGATCATGTGATGCGTTCACCCAACACGGCTCATGTGTGTTGTTCCTGATGTCAGTGTCACACACTCGAGGCCGTTCTGCTCCTGCTGAAGGATCTGGACGTGGAGGAGCTGAAGATCGTGCAGTCGGTCACCGAGAGCAAACTCCGATCCCGCAGTCGTCAGAGAGAGAGGTCACCCGTCTGCTCGTGACACAACACACACTGGCAGAAACTACACATCCATACTCATTTCAGCAACACTTGACACTTTTGGTTCACAGTGCATTAATGTTCACACAACTGTTGAGTTAAAAAGTTAATAAGTTAATATGAAATGCTACGGAGGCGTATTGCATTCACTTGAAGAAAAAAAATTTGCTCTGTTTTTCTGAATTAATGAGTTAATTTTTCATGAGAAAAAAAGTTTTTCTCTGTTTTTCTGAATTAATGAGTTGATTTTTCGTGAGAAAAAAAGTTTTTGAAATTAATTCGTTAATTCAGAAAAACAGAGCAAAAAAAAAATCCATGAAAAATTAACTCATTAATTCAGAAAAACAGAGCAAAAAAAAAATTTCCATGAAAAATTAACTAGTTAATTCAGAAAAACAGAAAAACTTTTTTTCTCATGAAAAATTAACTCGTTAATTCAGAAAAACAGAGTAGATTTTTTTTTCTTAAAGTGAATGCAATACGCCTCCGTATAATGCTGTTGAATTATAGTTCATTTAAACAAATGCGTTTCATGTTAATAAATGAAACCTTATTGTAAGTGTTGTATAATAAATGTCTTGAGTTATTTGTTGTATATTAACATGTCATAGCCATTTTGAACAGCGCCAGCTCCTGTACGGGACAACATGAATGAATCATGATACCCAGATGCCTTTTACTGTTCAGACTCCTGTTCTGGAGAACGATTTGCTTTGTAATGATGTAGTTTGTGGAACTACATTTTGTGTTGAAATGATACAGACGAGAATGTATTTTTCTATGTAAATAAATTCTGATGCACAAGAATATTTATTGTTATTGTATCATGATCCGACACAATTCTACAGAATACTGTACATGATTGAGTGGACAAAACAGGAATTAGGTGTCGCTTAAACCTCAGATCTGCCATGTTTCCTGGATCACGAAGCACAAAACCAATCTATCAGAAAGATCAGGTGACGTCTTCCAGGTTTCATTCCACATCGTTTTTCTCCAGAAAGTCAGTCAGAGTCCCGTTATCCACCGGGATGAGGAGATATTCCACCCCGTCGGCACCCTGACACACACACACACACACACTGCTTTAAAGAGATAGTTCACTCAAAAATGAAAACTAGCCCATGATTTACTGTCCCAGAAGCCATCCTAGATGTGTATGACACTCTTCTGTCAGACGATTTTATGATGGACAGATGCACTTTTATGGACTTATATGGAAATAAATACTGCCATTAAAAAAGCTTGGAAGAGCCAGGATATTTTTTTAATATAACTCTGCTTCTGTTCGTCTGAGAGAAGAGTGTCATACACACCTCGGAGGACTTGAGGGCGAGTGAACTATCCCTTTAATGATGGCTAGAGTTATTCTGCACAGGCGAGTTCTGACCTTCTTGGTCCGGATGAGTTTGTGATCTCTGAACTCGGTGAGTTGCGTGCGCAGAGTGATGTCACTGTTCACCAGGAAAGACTCGCGACAGCGCTGGTAGAAATCCTGGAAAGACAATCCTGAACAAACAACGAGACAGTCAGGTCTGAACACCGGCGCTGGATTATACAGGAGCTGTGCAGTGGCGATGCTTACCCGTGTACGCAGGATTGTCCTTGTTCTCCAGCTGAAACTCGGCCAGTAATCTGAAGATTCCTCTGCAATTCACAAACAATTATTATATCATACAATACAGAAATTACTATGGCTGTATTTTTGTTCACATTTTTATAATCAATATTGGATTGTTTTCATTATCGGTGTACGACTGCAAAAAGTTCAAACGCATGCTTTTGTGGCTTTATAAATCCAGATTTACTTTTGAAATCAATCTGTACCCAGCGGCACAGTCTCTCCAATCCAGCACTGAGTGAGTTAAACTGCAGTTCCTCCACTGGCCACTAGAGGCGCTGCAGAAGAGACTCACTCCCATAGACCCGCATGTTAAAATGGCAGAATAAACATGTTCAGAGTCTGGAGCAGAAACTGGTTGTGGTCTATATCGCTAATGTTGCTCTTCATGACGACTGTGAGCGGGTGAATTCTTTTAGAACTCATCCGTTTAAATTATATTAAGCCTTAAAGTTCTACATAATTAAGGGCGTGGCCACTTGAGTGACAGGTGGATTGCCACTGATGTCACTGCTAGCTAGCATTAGCGTCACGTCACCTCAGCTAATCCGCCTCGCTGCACATTGTCGTTTATCTGTGAGTTACGCGCGGCTAAGATGGCGATGGCCGGCTCCGCCCACTTTGGGCTCTCCAGAAACACTACGAGTGACGTCACACACACTACACCGAGTATTTATACAGTCTATGATCTGTCCGTGAGTCTGATTTGTGAATGACTGTGTTGAGGCTAGTGTTGTCACCTGGCGTTGGGCGTGAGGCTGCGCAGCACGTGTGTGAGAGAGCTGAGCGCTAGCGCCCCCGTCTGGTGGACGAGCAGAGAGTTCTCGTATGACGTCTCCTCGGTGTACGGCAGGTACGTCGTGGTTTCGTACCACAGCCAGTTGAACATGCTCATCTTGGCCTGATCCCAGACTGAAGCACACACACCAGGGGTTTATTAACACACCGCATCAGGGAGGATGTTTCTCTCCATCTACTCAAGATTACAACGCCATTATGTCAGCGTCTATGGAAGATTGCTTCTGCCACAGAATAAAAAAGTGAAGTAATTGACGCTTTTTATCTCTGAACTTAAAACGCACATTTTTGCCTTTTTTTCCATCAAAAATTTCTCGCAATTGCAAATTTTTTCACTTTTTTTTTCTCACAATTCAGACATTATTTCCTGCTATTGCATTTAATTTATATCTCCCAATTCTGAAATTATTTCTCACCCACTACTGCAAGTTTATAAATTGCTCGCAATTCTGTAAAAAAGAAAAGAAAAAAAATCATTAAAAAAAAATTCCACAATTCAAACATTTTTATCTTGCAAATGCAAGTTTATATCTCGCAATTCTCTTTTTTCTTGCTATTGCGTTTAATTTATAACTTGCAATTATGAATTTGATGCTATAAAAGTTTATTTATTAAAAATAAACTATTAAAAACAATTTTTTTCCCCATTTTCTCAATGGTGACGTTTTAGTTGCGTTTTTCATTTATATCTCGCAGTTCTTACTTATTTCCTGACAATTGCAGAATTTTTTTTTATTGCGATTACAAGTTTTTTTGTTTTTACGAGTTTTTTTTAGTTTCTGACGTTTTTTCTTGCGAATCTGTTTATATCTCACAATTCTGATATTTTTTCTTGCTATTGCGTTTAAATTATAACTCGTAATTCAGACTTTTTTCCTCACATTGACACTTTTTTGTATTTATAAGTTTGTAACTTATAACTCTGACATTTTTTTCTTGCTATTGCATTTAATTTATATCTTGCAATTCAGTTATACAATTCAATTGTTCAATTCAAGTTTATTTATTAAAAATAAACATTTAATATTAAAAAACATTATGGATATTAAAAATAAACTAATAAAAACATTTTTTTTTAAGTTTATTTAATGCAATTCTGAGTTTTTAACTTGCAATTCTGACTTTATTCCTCCCCATTTCTTTTATATTTTGCAAATCTGACGTTATGCTCATAGTTTCGAGTTTGTCTTGCAATTCTGAGTTTACATCTAAACTTGCATTTGTGAGAATGAAAAGCCCGAATTGTGAGAAAAAAAAGTGCAATTACCTTTTTAATAAACTTTATTCCGTGTCAGAAACAGCTTCCATAGTTATCATCGTAAAGCTTAAGCAGAGACTGACTGAGTGGAGCGTTTATGTGGTCGATGGAGGCCAGCAGGTGCATGTTGGGAAGCGCCGCCAGCTGCCCCAGTGCATGCTGGGTCCTGTCGCCCCTCAGCATGGGCCCGTCGATGTTATTGACGATCAGAAACACGTGATTGCTGGGATCTGGAAGGAAACACACGAGTTACAGCCACCGAAGACCACCAGCCACGAGTTGAGAGAGAAGACGCACGCGAGCCGAACCTTCTCGGAGCGCTCTGACGATGAAGTCGACCTGGTCTCCGGGGTTACGGAAGCTGCCCTCGTGCTGGAGCACGTCAGCCGTGATGCTGTTCAGGATCTGCAGGATCACAGCGAGAGATGGACGACAGTCAGAGTGTGTGCGAGTACAGCAGCACGAGTGTTGGACAAAACATGTTTGAAGCGCGTGAGGAAGAGTGTGTGTGTGTGTGTGTGAAACTGACGGCTTTGAGGGTGATGCTGGGGAAGAAGCCGTTGACCACCACATGATCCCAGTCCGCCAGCAGAGACGAGCAGAACTTCTCCAGCAGGAGCTTCTTCGAGCCCAGGCCGTAGATCACGATGTTGAAGCCCATGCTGAGAACACCGGAGAAACAACAACTCTGTTTAAGTCAATTTCCACTTCTATAATGTTGATAATCTCTCTCACACACACACACACACACACACACTCAACTGCATCTGCATCATCCACTGCTGGAAGTTGTTCTCGTGTTTGGCGTTGAGCTGATGAATCTCGTCTGCGTATCGCGGTGTGTTTCCACTCAAGAGTCTGAGCAGAGTCTCCTAGAACACACACAACCCAACACCTGTGTTAGACCTCACACACATCCCATGATGCTCAGCGATGGCTTACACACATCCCATGATGCTCAGGGTCACGGACCCGGTCCAGTTGTGGCGTGTGGAGCTTCTGCAGCGTTCGGTCAGACGTCAGCACTTTAGAGCTGCTGTGAGCCTCGAAATACTCCTCCACCAGATCCTGCAGCACAACACACACACACACATCACTGAGCAGAAGAAGAGTGACACACACACACACACACACATCACTGAGCAGAAGAAGAGTGACACACACACACACACACACACACACACACACACATCACTGAGCAGAAGAAGAGTGACACACACACACACACACACACACACACACACACATCACTGAGCAGAAGAAGAGTGAGACACACACACACACACACATCACTGAGCAGAAGAAGAGTGACACACACACACACACACACACATCACTGAGCAGAAGAAGAGTGACACACACACACACACATCACTGAGCAGAAGAAGAGTGACACACACACACACACACACACATCACTGAGCAGAAGAAGAGTGACACACACACACACACACACACATCACTGAGCAGAAGAAGAGTGAGACACACACACACACACACACACACACACATCACTGAGCAGAAGAAGAGTGACACACACACACACACACACACACACACACACACACATCACTGAGCAGAAGAAGAGTGAGACACACACACACACACACACACATCACTGAGCAGAAGAAGAGTGACACACACACACACACACACACACACATCACTGAGCAGAAGAAGAGTGACACACACACACACACACACACATCACTGAGCAGAAGAAGAGTGACACACACACACACACACACACATCACTGAGCAGAAGAAGAGTGACACACACACACACACACACACATCACTGAGCAGAAGAAGAGTGACACACACACACACACACACACATCACTGAGCAGAAGAAGAGTGACACACACACACACATCACTGAGCAGAAGAAGAGTGAGACACACACACACACACACACACACACATCACTGAGCAGAAGAAGAGTGACACACACACACACACACACACACACATCACTGAGCAGAAGAAGAGTGACACACACACACACACACACACACACACATCACTGAGCAGAAGAAGAGTGACACACACACACACACACACACACACATCACTGAGCAGAAGAAGAGTGACACACACACACACACATCACTGAGCAGAAGAAGAGTGACACACACACACACACACACACACACATCACTGAGCAGAAGAAGAGTGAGACACACACACACACACACATCACTGAGCAGAAGAAGAGTGACACACACACACACATCACTGAACAGAAGAAGAGTGACACACACACACACACACACATCACTGAGCAGAAGAAGAGTGAGACACACACACACACACACACATCACTGAGCAGAAGAAGAGTGACACACACACACACACACACACACACATCACTGAGCAGAAGAAGAGTGACACACACACACACACATCACTGAGCAGAAGAAGAGTGACACACACACACACACACACACATCACTGAACAGAAGAAGAGTGACACACACATCACTGAGCAGAAGAAGAGTGACACACACACACACACATCACTGAGCAGAAGAAGAGTGACACACACACACACACACACACACACATCACTGAACAGAAGAAGAGTGACACACACATCACTGAGCAGAAGAAGAGTGACACACACACACACACACACACACATCACTGAGCAGAAGAAGAGTGACACACACACACACACACACACACATCACTGAACAGAAGAAGAGTGACACACACATTACTGAACAGAAGAAGAGTGACACACACACACACACACACACATCACTGAACAGAAGAAGAGTGACACACACACACACACACATCACTGAACAGAAGAAGAGTGACACACACACACACACATCACTGAGCAGAAGAAGAGTGACACACACACACACACACACACATCACTGAACAGAAGAAGAGTGACACACACATTACTGAACAGAAGAAGAGTGACACACACACACACACACACACATCACTGAACAGAAGAAGAGTGACACACACACACACACATCACTGAGCAGAAGAAGAGTGACACACACACACACACACATCACTGAACAAAAGAAGAGTGACACACACACACACATCACATCACTGAACAAAAGAAGAGTGACACACACACACATCACTGAACAGAAGAAGAGTGACACACACACACACACACACATCACTGAACAAAAGAAGAGTGACACACACACACACACACACATCACTGAACAAAAGAAGAGTGACACACACACACACACACACACACACACATCACTGAACAAAAGAAGAGTGACACACACACACACACATCACTGAACAGAAGAAGAGTGACACACACACACACACACACACACACATCACTGAACAAAAGAAGAGTGACACACACACACACACATCACTGAACAGAAGAAGAGTGACACACACACACACACACATCACTGAACAGAAGGAGAGTGACACACACACACACACACACATCACTGAACAAAAGAAGAGTGACACACACACATCACTGAACAAAAGAAGAGTGACACACACATCACTGAACAGAAGAAGAGTGACACACACACACACACACACACACATCACTGAACAGAAGAAGAGTGACACACACACATCACTGAACAGAAGAAGAGTGACACACACACACACACACACATCACTGAACAGAAGAAGAGTGACACACACACACACACACACACATCACTGAACAAAAGAAGAGTGACACACACACATCACTGAACAGAAGAAGAGTGACACACACACACACACACACACACACACACATCACTGAACAAAAGAAGAGTGACACACACACATCACTGAACAAAAGAAGAGTGACACACACACATCACTGAACAGAAGAAGAGTGACACACACACATCACTGAACAGAAGGAGAGTGACACACACACACACACACACACACACACACACACATCACTGAACAAAAGAAGAGTGACACACACACATCACTGAACAAAAGAAGAGTGACACACACACATCACTGAACAGAAGAAGAGTGACACACACACACACACACATCACTGAACAGAAGAAGAGTGACACACACACACACACACACACATCACTGAACAGAAGAAGAGTGACACACACACACACACACATCACTGAACAGAAGAAGAGTGACACACACACACACACACATCACTGAACAGAAGAAGAGTGACACACACACACACACACACACATCACTGAGCAGAAGAAGAGTGACACACACACACACACACACACATCACTGAACAGAAGAAGAGTGACACACACACACACACACATCACTGAACAGAAGAAGAGTGACACACACACACACACACACATCACTGAACAGAAGAAGAGTGACACACACACACACACACACACATCACTGAACAGAAGAAGAGTGACACACACACACACACACACACATCACTGAACAAAAGAAGAGTGACACACACACACACACACACACATCACTGAACAAAAGAAGAGTGACACACACACACACACACACACACACATCACTGAACAGAAGAAGAGTGACACACACACACACACACACACACACACACACACACATCACTGAACAAAAGAAGAGTGACACACACACATCACTGAACAGAAGAAGAGTGACACACACACATCACTGAACAGAAGGAGAGTGACACACACACACACACACACACACACATCACTGAACAAAAGAAGAGTGACACACACACATCACTGAACAGAAGAAGAGTGACACACACACACATCACTGAACAGAAGAAGAGTGACACACACACACACACACACATCACTGAACAGAAGAAGAGTGACACACACACACACACACACATCACTGAACAGAAGAAGAGTGACACACACACACACACACATCACTGAACAGAAGAAGAGTGACACACACACACACACACACACATCACTGAACAGAAGAAGAGTGACACACACACACACACACATCACTGAACAGAAGGAGAGTGACACACACATACACACACACACACACACACACACACACACATCACTGAACAAAAGAAGAGTGACACACACACACACATCACTGAACAGAAGAAGAGTGACACACACACACACACACACACACACACATCACTGAACAGAAGGAGAGTGACACACACACACACACACACACACACACACACACACATCACTGAACAGAAGAAGAGTGACACACACACACACATCACTGAACAGAAGGAGAGTGACACACACACACACACACACACACACACACATACACATCACTGAACAGAAGGAGAGTGACACACACACACACACACACACCTCTGCTTTCTTGCTCTTCTTACTGGGTGTCTTATAGAGAGCGGCTGCGGTGTGTTTACTGGGGGTTTGGGTTTCTGGACCTCGTGCTCTTCATCTTCTTCATCATCATCTTCAGAGTTAGAGGGTGAGAGGTCACTGTCACTGTCGGACCTCAGGCTTGGAGCTGCAACACAACCACAACACAACATCAATCGATTAATTAAACCTAAATAGCAATTTTTTTAAAATAAAATTATTCATGAATAAAATTATAAAGTTAGAAATAAAAATATATAATGACTAAAATTTGAAACATGAAAACTAAAAACAAAAAGAACATGGTAAAAATTATCTCAAATAAAAATAATGCTGTTGTGAGGTTTATATTTATTGCTTTTCTTTTTATTTTTACCGCTCTTTTGTGTTTTCTGGTTTTATTGTTACTGAGATTCTGGAGTGTTGTGTTCTGGGTAATGAACCTGTGAGTCTCCTCCTCAGACGGTGTGGAGTCGTGGAGATGAACTGCACCTTCTTTCCCTGAGCAGAACACAGGGTATTAATCTCACACACACACACACACACACACACACTCGCGCACGTAACACCCTGAGACCTGTCGTGAGTTTCACCTTCTGAGGAGTCTTGCTCTGATTGGCTGATTCTGGAGGAACAGAGGAACGAGAGTCAGTCAGTGTGTAAACGGAGAGAGAGTGAGTGTGTGTGTGTGTGTGTGTGAGAGAGAGAGAGAGAGAGAGAGAGAGAGAGAGAGAGAGAGAGAGAGAGAGAGAGAGAGAGAGACACAGACTCACTTTTGCCGGTTGACTCGTCGTTTGTGTCTGACGTGCTGAAGCTCACACTCTTCCCAGGTGTACGAGCCAGTTCAGACGCTACACACACACACACACACACACACACACACACACACACACACACACACACACACACACACACACACACAATCATCAGTGTTTTGTTGTGTTATTTTATGTTTATTTTGATCATTCACATGTGTATGTGTATCAGTGAGTGAGTGAGTGAGTGAGTGAGTGAGTGAGTGAGTGAGTGAGTGTGTGAGTGTGTGTCACTCACCCATCTGAGCCATTTTCTTTCCCCGTTTGATGGTCTGAAACGAGAAGACGGACGATCCGGCAGCGACGACTGCGTCCTCACTCTCATCTGAACAACCAATCAGATGAACACATCATCATCATCATCATCATCATCATCATCGTGAGAGTTTCATGACGGGTTTATCAGTGAACGAGCAGCTGACGGTGCCGGAGCGGTCAGTGACGAGTGTGTGTGTGTGTGTGTGTTCACCCTGAGATCTGGCGTACAGAACCTCCACATAGTTCTGCTCTTTAAACAGCTCTTCTTCATCCTCCTCTTCATCAGCAGATCTTCTGCACTTCTGGGGGGTTTTCAAGGTCACGAGTGTCTGAGCGGATCCATCCGCTGCTTTTACATCTGCAGAGACATAATCAAAATCATATTCATAATGCAGACGCTGACTAAATATATACATGCGAGTCTGTGTGTCTGAGTGAGAGTGTGTGTGTGAGGGTCTGTTTGTATGTAAGAGAGTGAGTGTCTGTCTGTCTGTGTGTGTGTGTGTGTGTGTGTGTGTGTGTGTGTGTGTGTGTGTGTGTGTGTGTGTGTTGAACATACCATAGTATTACATTCTGATACCACAGTAAGTTACTATTTCGGTAAATATGGTATTAAAATGTTTGTGGTAACTTACTTTATAGTTTTAAAAGTAAGGCAAAAATCTGACGGAGTGTATATAAAGTTAAAGGTAAAACACATGATGAAGTTGTTAATGTAAAATGTAAGAGAAACACTTTTACCTTGCTGTTTCTCTACAATATGATCCAAAACATCTTCATCAGCCACGAACCGAACCTCTAACGGCTGTTTCTGGGTCATCCTGCCGCTCAGACACTAAACCCAGAACTCACACTGTAATATCTGTCACACACAGAAGATTATTAACATTTGTTTTGATAATGACGCTTCATCTTGCAAAAATAAACCTGTTGAAAATCTGTGGTACTGCTGTCGATTCGGCGCCACAGGAACCCACGTGTGACAGGATGATGATCACGTGAGCAGCTCCGGCAAATTAGAATGAGGCTTCATTGTAAACTACAACTCCCACAATTCCAGGGTTGATTAATATGGCATTAAAATCTTAGTTAGGGTGTTTATTTTAGAATTGGAAACAACGGAAAGTTTAAATTCTTCCTTAATTGGAATATGGGATTAAAATAATCAACGGTTGATCTCCTACAATTAATAATAATTGAAAAAGATATTGAGTCAACGGAAATTAATGTGATAAGTTCATTCAAAGGAACGCTGAGAAAAGTAACAGCGATCACGCGAAACAGTGCCTGTTTGTTGCTCATTCAAATGGTTGTTTTATTAAAAAAAGCAGTTGATAATAATCATTCACTCATAATGAAATCCAAATTAATCGTAATCCAAGTGCTTTAAAGCATAATTAGCGTAAATCCAACAAATAAAAATGTGTTTTGCGTCTAAGCTCTAGTAGAATCAGCTTTCATCTCTGCTTCAAATTATAAAGATTCACTGTATTATACGAGATTCCTTCACTCTGATACAGACCTGTAGATTTGACATTCAAATGTCATTGTTCTGACCGGTTTCAATCCAGCCGAGGCGATATTAAATGTCACTGGACTGAAGTGAAAGATTAAAATCACCCTTTCACATACGAATCAGGTTATTATGAAGAAACTTAATGCCAAACTGCGAATATGAAATATAAAAGGGCATTCAGGTTCTGTAATCCAATTCAAAACCACATGCAATCCAACACACAAAAGCAACAGTCAAATATTGTATAAACCACACTAATAAAGTAAACTCATGCCATGGTGATTTTGGAAAGTCAGATTTGATCAGTAAACAATACTGGGAGCGCATACATGAGAGCATTTGAAGAGTTCAGATGCAAAAGCCTCTAAGTGCCAGTTGAAATTTTCTTCTAGAATGATCATTTTTATCAAGCGTGTATATTTAAGTTCAGTAATTTCACTTAAATAACAATTAATAGGTAATCTTCATTGTCATTTAAGTGAAATTACTAAACTTAAATATACAAGCTCGATAAAATTGATCATTCTAGAAGAAAATTTTAAATGGCACTTAGAGGCTTTTGCATCTGAACTCTTCATTTGTTCATTTCAAGAACAAAACAGCCTGTGGGCTTTGAACCGAACCGAGCTGCATCATGGGTAAAAAGGCTCGTGTAAACACCAGCTCACTTCTGCATTTGATCCAGTTTCACAGCAGATGCTCAAACTTTGCCTGGAGCTTCTGTGTCTAATTATATGTGCTGCTCTACAAACACAAACACAAATCTGTGACACTGATGACAAATCAGGCCTGACAACTAGAGTAAACTTCGTTGGGTCGAACTGAGTTAGCTTAGCCATGTGGACGTTTTTGAAAATTGTATTTGCTTTTCATTTAGTGATGGAAAGAAAAAGAAAGACTTTGCTGGCATAAATTTAAAATGTTTTGCTTTTTGTCAGGTTGCCAACCTGCTGCTAGCATGAATTAGTCTGTTGTTAGCATGATTGTTGCATGCTACCATGCACTACTTCCTGAACGTAAGACAGCTCCTTTGTTTCCTGTCTGCCATTATTGGACAAATTGATTAGTTCAGGTGTGCCTGACCTCAGTAGTCACGGCAACAATAACCAGACACGCCTGAATTAATCAAGCTTGGCCAATAATGGCAGACAGGAAACCAAGGAGCTGGCTTAAGTTCAGGAAGTAGAGCAGCTGTGCATAAACTGTTTAAAGTTTTGACCCTGTAAACATTTCAACGAGACACATCTGCATTTTTACAACTGAATCACACGGAAACAGATCCTTAAAGTGAAAATTCATATTTTATTGGTTCCATACATTAATTTAATCAAGGGCAGAAATTAAGAAAACGAGGTTATTATATCAAACAGGGGCATCTACAAGGTTCAAGGTTTATTTCAATTGCAAGTGCAGACCTTTAGTTCACTTAAACTGATTCAGCTGGTCAGAGAGAGAGAAACGAATCAAAAAAATAGTACAAAAATCGAGTTCAAAGGCTTCAGCATTATCGGGTGTGCGAGGAAAACAAACCAACCAGCAACTAGTTAACGGAGTCCAGTGGAACAGTTCGTGTGTGTGTGTGAAGGAAACACAGAAAACATGTGTTTAAAGCGTCCGGATCTGAAACAAACACAGATTGTGCCCTTGATTTCACACAAATCAAAGAAGGGGAAAGACGAGGTTCATGTGTTTCTCTTTTACACATTAGATCAGAATGGCTTTATGGAACTCTAAGGAGGAATACATCTCAATACAGTTATACAGAACTCTGCTACTACCTTAAATATACAAGCACAAGTACACAAAACTCAACCGAAAGCCCACGCTAAACCACTCTCTTCAAAAATAACACAAACCAATAGAATCTGAGGGCTGAGGTCGATCTTTAAGGACCTTGACGGCTCTGTTACTCCTTGGTTTGCAGCTTTCAACATCGGCAGAAAGAAAAAGAAAAGGCAAATAAAAACATTCTAGGGAAATCGAGGCTGGTATAAAACACGGATACAATTCTCCAAAACGTGTCTGAGTTGAAACGCTCTTCTTCATGCGAACGCTGTCCCTCCACCAATCAGAGAGCAGAACACGGCCAGCTCACGTTTCACTCCCAAATCAACACAAACACACAAAAGAAATGAATGTTGCTGAAAGAGAACTTTTGTTTGCAATTAAACATTATCTCCTGCGAAAACTAATGCAAAGCAACAGAAAAAGATTCATTTAAATCGAACACTAGTTTTGATAACACTTTGCTTAAAGCATTATGATGCGTTATATATAATATTATTTATAATATTTTCAGAATCCTGGTTGTTTTAAGCAACCATAAGTTGCAATACAAAGAATAATTAATGCATTAAAAATACTTTCATATATCTATCTATATATACCTTTAAATAAAATGTGTTCTAATGCATTGTAATATTTTCAGAATCCTGGTTGTTTTAATGCATTATACTTTCTGAAGATGTGACAATATATATAAGTTGCATAATTAATGCATTAAAAACCCTTTCATACTGCACTATATATGAATGCTTTAAGTAAAGTGTTGATTTAAAATGAATCGGACAGTTTCGGTCACTGCAGTCCAGTGTTATAATGCAAAATTCTAATCATGGTTAATATTAAAAATATGCATATGTCCAACATGCAGAAATGCAGTGATTCTGGGGTGAAACAGGAGCTGGATGTTGGTTGGTCTTGTTGGCGGTTTACGTTCCGTCTTAACTTAATCATGTGATCTATCAGGAGTGTCCTCCCGTAAAACACCAACAAAACCACGAGCCCTGTGCGTCTGATGTCATCTCTGATCCTTCAGGTTCATTTCCTCTGCTGACAGGAAGAGTCGTTCTGCAGGTAGATGAATGAGTCGATCTTCGACCACGCCTCTTTCTTCCCATTGGACGCCGGGTCGGCCCCGCCCCCGCGGGTCTCACTGAGACGCCTGTGAGGTGGGGTTGTCGTTCTTGCCCTCCTGGCTGGACGGGGGCTTGTTGTTCCAGGGGCTGTTAGCGCCCAGCGCGGGCGAGTTGTTAAAGCTGTCCTCGTCGTCGATGCCGTTAGCGGCGTCAAACTGCGTGTTCTCGAGCCGCGTGATCAAACGCTCGTCCTCGTCTCCGAACTCGCCGCCCATCAGCGTCGGCTCGCCAACAACCATCACATCCTGAGCAGAGGATCAGAGAACCGGAGGAGTTAGCACTCGGGGGACTAACAGACGACCGCATTATTTATTCATGTTTTTATATCTATATCAAGAATCCTGAAAAGCAATCATACATCATGCTTTCCAACACTGATAATAAACATAAATGCGTGTTGATCATCAGATCCTCATATTAGAGTGATTTGTGAAGGGTCATGTGACACTATAAATGAATGAACTATAAATAAATGATACTTTACTGTAGTGTTGTCACGGTACCAAAATATCAGTATTCGGTACCGATACCAGTTAAAATTCACGGTTCTCGGTACCAATTTCGGTACCAAAGCTTAGTTTAAATTTACATATATTTAAGTGTTTATCACGGTTACAAGTATGGAAACTGTACATTTGTATTATAAACACTTTAGAAAAAGATTAGATAAAATGACCTAAAATAAACAATATTATACACTAACTAACACATTTTTAAAGTTGTTTGTAAAGTTTTAATCCATTATTTATTTAATGCACAATGAATTAAGTGAACAAACATTAACAATCAGGTGTTTGTAATAAATAACATTTTCAAACATTAATTAATGTTGTAAAAATATATTGTTCACTCAATGTGTTGATAACTAAGTAATGTTTATGAATGGTATCTTTGTAGCATTACCATAAAACATGTTTTATTTGACTTGACTGTCCTTTTATTAATCTAAAACTGCATTCATATTTAATTTTAAAAGGGCTTTTTAAACCTGCTGAGTTATAAAGGCAAGAATACGCCTAGAACTGGCACTGACATTAAATGATAATACTAATACCATAGTACTCTGGTGTCGGGTAGATACTACTGTGCTCATGTACTCGTAAAACTACCCCGAAAGCACTTTAGAGGCCGTTCACATTATATTTTTGCGCGTGCTTATTCTTTCCAAAGCGCTTGCTCTCACGCGGCGTCTGTCGTTGCTATGCAACGCCAACGAGTTTTTATTAGGAGCGCGCTTGAAGAATCACCCCTATATTTGAAATTGCGAATTTGCATGTAATCGGCCTCTTATGGCAACGTGACATTAGCCTAATCCAAAATATTTACATATGTGGCTCTTTCCTCCTTTCGTTTCAACAAGTGGATTCAGAGAGAGAGAGCCATATCAGCGTTATGAAGAGGACGCAACTGTGCACGTTTCAGACATCGCGTCTAGAACAGAACTGGACGAACCTGGTATTCGGTACCTAGAAAAGCTGGTACCGTAACATTTTTTTTTTTTAGTACCGACTTGGTACCGAAGTACCGAGTTTTTTGACAACACTACTTTACTGTATATTCACACAGAGAACAGATGATTTACACTGGAGGAATATTACACTGTTTTACTGTATTTTTGCTGTGATGAGCAGAAGAGACGTCTTTTAAAAATAGAGCCAGGCCGATATTAGGCACTCTCTAAAATATCGGTATCGGCAGTTATAATGGCCGATAAATGAATATTTCAAAAATAAAATATAAACGGGCGAATCACGCTTGAGTTGTATAGTTTGTCCACCAGAGGGCACTCTACACCGTCCCTGTTGGCACTGCTGATCCAGCCAGAGTCAGGCAGAGAGAACCAGTTATGCATTATCATATTATTTTAGATAAAACTCATAAATAACTAATGTTAGGGGAAATCTGATAATATTCTGTTGCTCGTTTCTGAAATAAAAAAATAATATCGGCCGATATATCGGATTTTAAAACCAACAAATACTTGTATCGGTATCGGCCTTCAAAATCCTTTATCGGTCGGGCTCTATTGAAAAACATTAAAAATCCTACCGATCCCAAACTTTTGAACAGTGTATATATAAATCACATTAATAAACGTCATATGTGTTCTGAATGTGCAGCTCAGCGTGATGATGTCAGAAGACGGCCTCCTGTGACGTGATTGGCCACTCACCGGCACCTGACTGGACAGGGGGAAGCTGTTTGCTGGGCTCTTCTTCTTGCTGTTGCTGTTGTTGTTGGTTCCTCCGCCTGCGCTCATGGTGCTGCCGCCCGACATCTTGCGCTTCCGTCTCTTACTGGGCGCCTGTCTGGCAGGTTCCGCTGCGAGACGACACACACACACACACACACATTAAGGCTGGAATACACTACATAAACAGCAGACATCACACACTACAGGACTGAGGATCATACAGAAACACATGGCGCATTCTTTTTCCGTATTTATAAGGATTTCCGTATTTTTCAAGCTGGGAGTGAAGTGAATACTGGAACTAAACTAACAGCAGATTCTGCGTTTCTTCATCTCCAAAAATTCATGCCCGAACCGGAAGAGACCCGTAATGTGCTACACCGAACCGACCCGGACCCGTCGTTCATTTCAAAAGTTGGACCCAGACCCGTGCAGACCCGAGAAATGTCATAAATTTACTGCTTGGACCCGACCTGGACCCGTCTATTATTTGAAAACTGGACCCGAACCCGGCAGAAAGACACAAATCCGAATGGACCCGATTGTCACATATTATTTCACACGAGTTGCGAAAAATAAAACGTTTTGTCTTACCTAATTTTAGTAGCCGTCGTCTCACTTCCTTGTTACGTTACCTGACTGACTGAAGCATTAATCCACCGACAAGAAAGTTCTATCCATGTTATTTCTCTCGTTATTCCAAGCTTAATCCACTCATTATTTCAGCTTTAAAAGTCCACTTGATGTCACGGTGATGGATGACAAATGCAACCTTGCACATGTACATTCTGACTCGAGTTAACTCGGATAATAACTTTAACTGTTTGCCCTTTTGAACTATAATAACGATTGCTTGTTGCTTGTTCAGTTTGATCATATCTGTGCTCTCTGCTCTTCATTGAGTCTGAATCTGACCACCAAAACTTTAAGATTAAACAAGACGGTTCATTTATATTATTATAAACATTGGAGAAAATGCAAAGCGCGGTTTGGTGGAAGCTCTGCTCTGGTTGCCATAGAAACATGACACGCGCTTGAGATTGCACTCCGATCACACGGGTATTACACGCAATTTACAAAAAGGTAAAACGTAATTACCGGACCCGGCTTATCATTTAAAATATAGACCCGAACCCGTACGGGTCTCGGGTGCACTGTGAAGACCTCTAGATCCGTGATCTGGATGTTTTTCCCGATCTTTACCCGATCTTGTAAGTCATCAAAAAATATTCCCGATCTTTGTGACTTCGCACCCTTGATTTCCATCGTCTGGTCAGCGTATTATGACTGTATTATGTACAGTATTTATCAGCGACGCATCATACACTACATGTGTCCTAACATCAGCTCAAAATATCGAACGTGTTTAGATGTCCTCCGACTGGATGGAGCCTTTTCCCATCATACACTGTGATTTGTGAATTCTGTCAACAGCGAACAATCGTCAACAATTGTGATTCTGTAACGCGGGACGGGACACACACACACACAAACACACACACACACGTTACGGTTCTGAGCAGTTCCTCACCTGGTGGAGCCACCATCCGCTGCCACTTCTGGAACAGACACGTCTTCAGACAGTCCCGGGGACTCAGACTGTACGTCTTGTGCCTGGACATCAGCTCCTGCATGGGCTCCAGGATTACACACAACTGCAACACACACACACACACACACCAAGAGAAGTTACTCTTCTGCTGAATGAAAGCGGATACATACTTCATCAGTGAAAATTGAGCTTTCTGAAGATGTTCTCCCAAGAGGACACATTTAAAACAGTATTTTTGCATTGCAGTGTGGCCTGTAATCTGTGCGGAGGTCAGTTCACTGCAGTGACCGAAATTTACTTTTTCTTATTAAAGGGGCAATGCAATATTAGCCATAATATTTCCAGGGGCATTTTTACCAAGGCTCTATAAAAACATGTCTTCCAAACGTATTAGATGTTACGCATCACCTTTTATGTCAAATTCTAACATTCAAATTAAACTCATTCAATAAATAAAAATATAAAATTATTCCTAACTTTAACTATTTAATTAAAGGATATTTTAAACATGAACCGGTAAAGTTTAAATTGATATTTAGATACATCCAGGTTAAAGTATAGGAGGCCCGTGTTGTGCTCGTACTCTGAGGTAGTTGAGGGTGGAGTTTGACAGGCCGCATCTGGTGATGTTTTTGGACAGCTGATCCAACATCTGCGGGTCTTGTGCCTGAGACGGACGCAAAAGCACACGATCATCAGGTATGAAACATCAGATATAAAAACAAACATGTAATTCAGAAGGAGGAGGAACTGACATGCATGGCCAAGATGCTGCGGGGAATGAGCTCTCTGTGCTGCCGGATGCTGAAATGCCACGTCTTTATTCTCATCATGTCATCGAACATGAACTCCAGGTAGAGACGGCCCTCCACACACACCTGAGAAGACCAGCAGAGTTACACACACACACACACACACACACACTGAGACCGTGGAATGGTTTACCCGATTACATCCAACAGTGCTCCACTCTTAGAGAGTTAAAACGGCATTTAAATCATATTTGTTTATTCTGGCGTTTGATCTCAGATGAGTGTTGCGTCAGTGGTGTATGGGTTTTTATTGATGCCTCATTGATTTTGTCTGTGTTGTGATGATAAGTTAATGTGATTTTAAGATTATTACGCGTTGTCCCATGTACAGCACTACGCTCGACTGTTGTTGTATTAATATGTGCTTTTTAAAGGATTAGTTCACTTTTGAAAACACTTTTGCTGATAATTTACTCACCCCCATGTCATCCAAGATGTCCATGTCTTTCTTTCTTCAGTCGAAAAGAAATTAAGGTTTTTGATGAAAACATTCCAGGATTTTCTCCATATAATGGACTTCAATGGGGTCCAAACGGTTCAAGGTCCAAAAGACAGTTTCAGTGCAGCTTCAAATGTCTTTAAACGACACCAGACGATGAATAAGGGTTTTATCATGCGAAACGATCAGTTATTTCAAAACTTATTCCAAAAATGTAACTTTTCTGAAGACAAATGTAATTACGTATTACGTGACGTTACAAACGCGCCTCACAGAATAGAGCAAGGCTAGCATTTGTCCTTAGAAAGGAATAAGTTTTGAAATAAGCGATCGTTTCGCATGATAAGACCCTTATTCATCGTCTGGTGTCGTTTAAAGACATTTGAAGCTGCATCTGAAACTGTTATTAACTGTCTTTTGGACCTTGAACCGTTTGGTCCCCATTGAAGTCTATTATATGGAGAAAAATCCAGGAATGTTTTCATCAAAAACCTCGATTTCTTTTCGACTGAAGAAAGAAAGACATGGACATCTTGGGGGCGAGTAAATTATCAGCTAAAGTTTTTCAAAAGTGAACTAAACCTTTAAATAATTTGAACACACACATATACATACCAAAAACTTTAACAACTTTAAACAATATTAAACAACACACACACACCTGTGTGAACATGGGTTTGCCGTTCTGTGTGACCATAGTACACTGATCACAGTCCAGAGACACGAAGTTGTTGTGGAAAGACTCTTTCGGGTGTTTCAGGACGTAGTAGAGCTCGTTGGCGCCGCCCTCAAACACACTCCTGAAGTAACGAGGAATCAGCGTCCGACCGATCGCTGAAGAGAGATGATCAGAACAAGAGTCAGGAAAATCTGTAACTGAATATAATGATGAGCAGCGCAATATTAATGTGGACTTACTCAGAATTTTCCATGAATAACTAAAAGCCCATTTACAGCAGGCGACGTTTGTCTGAAGCAATCCGATCGCAGGTGATCAGCCGTAAATACAGATGCAAACACTAACCGGTGTTTCCCGAAAGCATCGTTAGCCAACTACGGTCACAAGCTTTGTCGTTATCAGCAGTTTAACGAGTCTGTGTTTCCCGAAACCATAGTTCTAACAAGCATTCGCAAACAGCATTGCAGAGGTGTGTGTGTGTGTGAGCGACAGATCTAGAGCTGTGTTTGCGTCACATGTGGACTCAAAAATCAGCAAGCGGACATTCAGTGCAATGTCTTTCAGTTTGTCGAGAGATTTAGAGTGTCGTTTCTGAAGAGTGCGCGTGTGTGAACGAGCTCTAGTGTGTAAGAACGAGCCGATGATCGAATCTGGAAATACAGGAAAATAACTGAGAAAAATGAGAAATATTCCTCAGATGCATGTCTGTGATTTATAGCAAAACATCCAGTGTTAATGCTAATCTCAAACAGATTCATTAACCGCAGTTATTACTCCAGCACACGCGTGACATCATTAACCAACGTCGTTGAATGACTAATTAGCAACAATTAGTCAGTAAGGACTAATTTCCTCAACGATGCATGGCACTACGGTAGTAAAGCGGCGAGTTACGGCATCTCACGGGTATGGCGATGGTAATATCTTATTGTCTGACATGAGACACTCACTGTATCGTTTAGGGCCGTCCTCCAGACAAAACGTGATGGTGAGCATAGCGTCATCCTCAAAGAACTCGGTAGTGAAAGCGTCCCACCACAGATTATCACACTCCTGAGAGAGAGACAGTTAGAGGGTTCATGTCACGCATATGAAAAGCATCTTAAATGTTTAAAACATTGCTGATAGTTTAGCATGAAACATCAAACTCACCTCCGTCCAGTTCTGGAGCCGTTTGTTGAGTTCAAATATCCTGTAGTCTGTCTGATTTCCATAAGGTGTGTGTCTCCTGTGACAGGGAGTGTGTGTGTTAACACTCACAGACATGCACCGACACTTCATGCACTTTTTATGCTTTAACACAACCATCTTAGTGCTTTAATAACAACAGATATCATAAAACAGCATCTGTATGTTTTATTCCAGGTGTATTAATCTTGTAATTCTACTGTATTATATTTGATACACACCAAGGCCTGTAAATGATCTGATAAACCTGTCACACACACTAGTAAAAGTCTCCAGTATAATTAGGGTGGTGTTTTTTCTTCCATATACTCACTATACGAGTCTGATGCATCAAATAAAAAATAAACTTTTTAAAATATTTTTTGTCTAAAGGTTAAATTAGCAGTTTAATAACAGACTATTATTTCCAGGTTAAAGGCTCACCCGATGCCCGGCTCCAGGTATGTGGGGGGGTACATGGGCGTCGGGCTGCAGGAACAAGACAGAAAACAAGACCACCATAAACAATAATGGCAAACCTCATAACATGCTGCATATATTGCCATAAAACAGACTGTAACACACAATCAGACACTGAAGCGAACAAGTGCAGCATTACAGACAGGAGGAAAAATTAATCTGTGCTTCGCTTGTTTTATAGATGTCATTTCGGACGGAAAATTCATTTTTCGATTTTTACATCCTTTATAATATAACAGAAGAAATGGTCTTATTTTTGATTTCTAAACACTGGTTCTTGTTCTTTCAGATAACGCAGTCAAAATCATGTGGGTCATATCCACAAATCTACATTTACAGCTTCAAAGCCAAAATTTGATCGTTTTCTGCTCTGACTTAAAAAGTCTTGCTGATTACTGAAGTAAATTTAAAACATCCCAGATATTAAATAAGATCATAAAGTCATCACCTGTGAACAGATACCCTGTTTAAATCTTTCTATCCACCTGCTTCAGTCAAAATAAAAGTAATGCAAATTTATTTATTTTTTATTAATTTATTATTTTTAAATGTCAATACTGTACGTCCCGCATACAAAGTAAACTGTTCTACTCATTAATTTCAAATGTCATTAGGATTAATGTTAAAGGAATGAATGTTAAATGTTGATACTCGCAAAAATGTTAATAAAAATAAACAGGAAAGGACAGGAAAACACTCGTTTCTGCACTTTATCAGTACGCCACAGACGACTTGACACCAACTACGGAAACCACACCCTCTTCCCTGAACGAGGTCTAATCCTGGACGTCCACCACAGAGGGACGAGCACTCCACGGCCCCGTATCTGACCGACACCAGCGCTGATGCCCACAGGAACTCGCAGCGCAACATCCAAACACACACTGAACCTCACACCTGTTCTTTCTGGAGCTCAAACTGAAGAGCGTTAGCACTTGCAACGCCAAGGTCATGGGTTCGATTCCCAGGGAAAGCAAGAACTGATAAGAATGTAAAAAATGTGTACCTTGACACATTCAAAGAGGACTTAGAACGTCTTAGCAAAACATTTATATATATATATATAGTTGGAGTGATCACGCAACATTAGCAATATTACACTGGGTTAGATGACAGATAAAGTTTACTGTATAAATGTCCGCCTAGTTTGAACTTGCCACTGCCTAATACAATTTTTTGACTCTGAACAATATTTCCCATTTAGTTATTTACTTGTGGCAAGTATCCATTTACATTACATTTATATCTATACATTTGCAGGCGCTTTTATCCAGATTGCATTTCAAGGTACACATTTACATTCTTGCTTTCCCTGGGACTCGAACCCATGACCTGATGCAAGCAAGTTTACAGCCTGAACAAACCCCCTTCAGGTGTGTATGTGTGTGTTTAATGCATAATGTACATCCAGCCGGTTGTTATCTCAGAATAAACCCCCTTCAGGCTGATGAAGACCTGATCCTGATCACTGGGTCGGGTTTACTCTGAGATAACAACCGGCTGGGTGTACATTATCCCTTACACACACACACACACACACCTGAAGGGGGTTTATTCTGGATGTACATTATTCCTTATTTACATCCCTTTACCATTTACTCTGAGCTTGTAGCAATGAATGATACCGGAGACACTGCCTTTACTTTGGACCCTTTGGACTCAACAAGTGGCCCAATCACTGGCCTGTGTGTGGATATTACAGCTCAGCTCACCCCACGTCTCGGTCCAGCATGGTGCCGGGGTGGAAGGGGGGGAAAGCACTTCCGTTGGGGGGCTCCTTTGGAGAGTACAGCTTGAACGACTTGGAGGAACAGCCTGAGCGGAGACAGAGAAATGATTCGACACATTAGTCAAACATCAGGAGAGTTTAATGACATCATCATATTAGAGTGATTTCTGAAGAATCATGTGACACTGAAGACTGCATTAATGATGCTGAACATTCAGGAATAAATGACACTTTACTGTATATTCACAGAGAACAGCTGATCTACACTGGAGGAATATTACACTGTTTTACTGTATTTTTGATTCAGTTCAATTTGAGCAGAAGAGACTTGTTTCAAAAACATAATTATTTCAAACTTTTAATCGGTATTACCGATTGGTCAGTGATCCAGTGACGCTAAAACCCAAAGATGTTGACTTGACTTTTGGGAAAAGAGTGTGTGTGTTTGTGTGAGAGATGGGTAGGGTTAGTGTGTATGTGATGGGTAGGGTTTGTTTGCGTGTGTGTGTGTGTGTTTGTGTGATGGGTAGGGTGAGTGTGTGGGTTAGTGTGTGTAATGGGGCAGGTTTAGGGAAAGGGTTAGTGTAAGGAGCTAGAATACACAGTTTGTACAGTATAAAAACCATTTTGTCTATTATAAGGAGAGTCCCCATGAAGATAGAAAACCAAACGTGTGTGTGTGTGTGTTAGTACAGTGACGGTCTCTCACACTCGAGCAGTAAAGACCCTCCATAAACCCAGCGCAGGGGTCAGAGGTCAGCCACACCCCTAACCCTCTCCATCCCGCCAATTAAACACATCTATGACACGATGCATTCAGCCACAATGAGGTCACGACCCCTGTTGTCGCGGAAACAGCTCCGCCTCAAAATGACGGCTCGACGTGTCTCGCAAATAAATCAGAGGGCCGTCAACGTCACGGGCGCATCGTAAAATGGAGGGTCGTACCAACAGGAAGACGCTCTCTCTAATTGATTTATACAAACAATACAAGAATGAACACTCTAAAAAATGCTGGGTTGTTTTAACCCAATGTTGGGTAAAATATGGACAAACCCAGCCATTGGGTTAAAAATGTAATTTAAAAATGTAACCCAATGGCTGGGTTTGTCCATATTTTACCCAAAATTGGGTTAAAACAACCCAGCATTTTTTTAGAGTGAAGAGGAAAAAGAACATTTGCTCATTTCAAAAACATGACAAACAACTACTGGATTCTGGACACACACACACACACACACTAAATAAATCATTTATACCATCGTTAAATATCACCCAGCCCTAAAACTTGCTTTGTTAACGCATTATAAACATGACAATTAAGACGATCTGTAAAGCTGCTATGAAAGGTGTGTTGTGAAAATCACTAAAACAAGCATTAGACTAAAAAAAGGCAGCTTTTCCTGTTTTTATTGTCATTAAACAACTATCATAAATAATAATAACCACACAACATTGGCTATTTCTGGACGTTAAATCAAACTTGAACATTACTTAGGCTACTTAGTAGTTGCTTTAACCAAAGTGACTTACAAACGGCATTGAAATATGAGCAGACGATGAAGAGAAACATGAGGCCAATCTGAGTAAAAGAAGCGGCGAACACCTGAAGTATAGAGCTAATCAGCGTCTGCTCTCGAGATCAGTGGAAACCACCGATTACACGTCTAACATCAGACGCCTGACATTTCCTCCTCATGCATCTGCAATCTGGAAGAAAGCATGATTTCTATGGTGTAAAAATGTATTGTGGATAGTTCACCCAAAATCCAAGTTTTAGTGTCAGTACTACATTAAACTACTCTATATAACGTTGAATATTGTGTATAATAATGCAATGAGGGAATATTTGTGGGTGCTGATAACGTTAAATGTCTGATGTTACCAGTAAAGAGTGGCTTACATCATTTTAAACAAATCTAATCAGTGAAATGAGCATATATTGGAGTATAATAATTCTGTTTTCAGCTTCAGAATCGTGAATATTGTTATTCTGGTGTCTCTATTGTCCTGTGCTTTGGGTTTACAGCACCAAGTCCGAGTCATTTACACACACACACAATTAAATACCGAATTTAGCATTTTAATCAACAGTGCATTTTTTGTTACCCTTTTATCATATCATGTCTTGAATATCGAATCGTTACACCGCTAATAACTTAATCGAATCCTGCTTCTTTTCATCAGACACCTGATAAACACACACACACAAAACAAAACTGACCTGGAGAAAAGCATCCAAAAGACTTATTTGCTCATACGTGTGTGTGTTCCCTAGAGAGAGACAACTAAAAGATTCAGAGCAAAACACTGACAGTGCAAACTTCAATCTCACACTCCCGAAATCAGAGCGCATCCTTCATTAAACATTCATAACACAGTCTTCCAGACATTAAATATTCACTGGACACAGTTTAGTCCAGTCCAGCACAAATCCCTTCTCAAACGGGCAACAACACCTTTCCAGTTCACAGGTCAGAGACGAATAAAACACCAGTTATATTCACATTAAAGCAGGATAAAAGAAATCAGCATGTTTCCTGTTCAGCCATTAAGCAAGCAAATAAGACGAGCACTAGATATTAAGAGCGTCCCATTAAGAGATATAATTCAACTGCTGCTTAATGACTTTCTAAATCAAATCAAACAACAAACTTCCCATGCAGTAAATTGCTTTCTTGAAAACATCATCTCTCTCTGTCTCCACATTACTTTAAGCTACAATGCAGTCATAATCTAATTCCCGTGCCACATGATAAGATGAGTGCTTACAGGACGGATCTCAACATACAGACTACATACAGTGGACTTCATGAGTGACATGACAGGCTAATGGTCCTTCCATCGCATGTGAAAAGTGGGAAACGATGATCATATGATCTGCTAATGAGTGTTTTCACCACAACACCACAGAGACCCTCGAGACGATGCTGATGGCTTCCAGTAAATGGAAATTACTGCGAATTAACAGGAAAACACTTGAGAGCTACTTTACAGAGTCGACAGCTGCTGATACAGGAATATCTCACCACCATCATTACACAAACATTAATACAGTATACAGGAGTAAAGCACATCTCTCCCCAAACATCACATTGTGATTATTTATAGATGGCTTTATGAACAGACAGATTATGTAAAGAAAACCTGAAATCCACGAATTGAGGAGATAAATAATGTTATATAAAAGACAACTCGAGTTTAAGGCGTTTTAAACATGTATATAAGCCTCTCAACAAGTAAAATGCAGTTTAAAGAGTTCGCTCGTGAAGTAAACAGAATGTGAGGGTTCTCATTGTGAATAAACAGCAGATTGTCTGGTCATGAGACCCACAGATCAGTGTGTTTACACTACCTTATTACACACACACATTCAGTACTACAACACGTTTAGTGAGAGATCATAACCTGACAGACTTTAATAAGGGAAACCTGACATTACAGATTTAAATGAGATTGACTGTTCATAAATAAAAGCCTAGTGATGAGGCCCGAGGCTACATGCTAATGCTAACAGCTCAATAAAACACCGACATGAACCAAAGAACCGTTGAAATAAATCGACAAAACAAGATGCAATAACACCGTATAACATGTCAAAATGAAAGTCGACAATGAAATTTAAATAAACCCCCTCAGTCTGTTAAAATAACAGTTAACGTTAAATGTCCCACTGAAGCGGTGTAAATAAACCCCCCCAGCTTTACCTGAAACACTGACGTAAAGGAGGATCGACCGACTGCGAACGGGCTGTGTGTGGATCCCGGGACGCGGGAAATCAGGAAAATAAGTGTAAAACCATGAGAAACGTCGGTTATTGAGGTAGAATCGTCCGGTTTAACTTGCGCGAGGCCTCGAGCTGAAGGTCCCGCGGCGCTCGTGCTCGATGAACCCGCGCCTCAAGAGTCTTTGTGTTCACGCGCTGAGCGAACAATAGACGCGCGCAGGCCCGAGTGATGCTCGCTCTCTCTCTCTCTCTCTCTCTCTCTCTCTCTCTCTCTCTCTCTCTCTCTCTCTCTCTCTCTCTCTCTCACACTCTCTCTCTCTCTCACACACTCACACTCTCTCTCTCTAATTTTTTTTATATAAATACACACACACACACACATATATATATATATTAATATGTATATTATTTTATTTATTATACATATATTACTAAATCATTTATGATTTTTTTGTATTATTACATTAGTTTCTTTATCATTGTAATATGCAGATGGATGTATATTAATAATTACGTTTATGGTGCAGACGAGCGCTAATATGCATTATGATCCTCTCTGAATCTCAGACTCAGTTCGATGTAATCCACTTTATTTGCATGACAAACATTTCCATAAACCCTCATCTCCTCCCCATCTCTCTCTGTCGTCACGAATCACCAGTGAAGAAGTCCATCATGCCCACAAACACGCGTGCACACGCACTCCAGCGCAGCCTTCCACACTCAGGCAGCAAGTCACAATATAAGAGTTATTAACAACAGAACGTGCATATTCTGAGGAGATTAGCATAATTGGGCTTGTCAAAACAAATCAATGATTCAATTACACACGCAAGCATCTCAATTGCATTAGTCCACTTCATAGTCTGATGCTCTTCGACTGACAAGCGGCCAATAAATGACAATTATACAGCTGGGAATAAAATAATCCATAGTGACGAGGTCGATGCTAAACCGCTGAACGCAGAGCTGCCAATCAATGATGACATCACAGACGGACAACCGACCCAGCTCCAGTCCTGCTGTCACAACACACACACACACACACACACACACACACACACACACCACCACCACTATCTCCGAGTGGGGGATGAGGACTGACCACTTCTGCAGAGAGTGAGTGTGTGTGAGAGAAAGAGAGAGAGGCACATAAAAATACACTAGCATGCAAAAGTTTGTGATCAGTGATTTTTCATGTTTTTAAAAGTCTCTTCTGCTGAAGACTGTGTTTATTAGATCAGAAATACAGTGTAATATTCCTCCAGTGTAAATCATCTGTTCTCTATGTGAATATACAGTACATATGTCACTTTTGATCAATAATGCGTCCTTGATTAATATGTTTTTTTTTTAATAAAATAAACATTCTTACTAGCCACAAACTTTTGAACGGTAGTATTTAATGTTATAAAAGCTTCTATTCCAGATAAGATCAAAGATCTATTCATCAAAGAATCCTGTAATAAAAAATATGATCAGTTTCCAACACTGATAATAATCATAACTGTGTGTTGATCATCAGATCCTCATATTTGAGTGATTTGGGAAGGGTCATGTGACACTGAAGACTGGAGTAATGATGATAAACACAGGAATAAATTACACTTTACTGTATATTCACACTGGAGGAATATTACACTGTTAGTTTTTTTGTTTGTATATTATTTAATAAATAAATGCAGCCTTGGTGAGCAAATCTTAATGATCCAAAACGTTGGACTGGTAGTGTGTGTCACCAGCTCAAACCTTTCTCGCAGTCACAATGGACACACACTTGCCCCGGGATGGGATTGTGGATTTGAAACGGTACACAAGGGTTAATGTTCTGTGTGTGTGTGTGTGTGGGTCAGACTCAGGCCCCGTGAGAGTGACAGGAGGTGTTATCTACAGCTCAAGCTGTTCTGAACATGTGCTGGGGTTCCTCAGAACCGTTCTGGGACCAGAGCATGCTGGGAGATGCAGGACACACACACACTGAGGAGTGTGTCCGATTATAAACATCGCTCTGAAAGCTCTGCGACTTAATGTCAGAATGGAAGTATAAGAAAAAAAATAAAAAAAAATAAATCAATAAATAAACGTAATTACACCTGTTTTTCTAACAATTCTGAGAAGTCAGAATTGCAAAATAAAAAGTTGCAATTAACTTTATTTTATTCTTTTTATTCTGTGGTGAAAAAAAAAAAAAAAAAACAGAATTCCCAGAGAAAAAGTCAGAATTGTGATATAAAAAGTTATAATTAACTTTTTTTAAACAGAATTGTGAGATTATGACAATTATGAGAAAAAGTTGCAATTAACTTTTTAATTTTAAATTCATGAACAATTAACTTTTTTTTAAAGAATTGCGAGATTAGGAGAATTATGAGAGAAAAAAAGAAGAAAAAGTTGCAATAAACTTTAATTTTAAATTCATGAACGAAACTAAGTAAGAATTGCAAGATAAAAAGTAGCAATTAACTTTTTTATTTTTTATTTATAAACAGAATTGCGAGATGTAAAGTCATAGTTTGACTGTATTTATATATGTTTATATGTGTTCGATTGGGGAAACCCTGCAGAACATCAAGAGCTAAAAGAGCCAGTAATACAGTAGCTCTATCCTCACCCACTGGTTCTGATGCTCTCTCTCTCTCTCTCTCTCTCTCTCGTATCTCTGAGGCCAGGCGTGTGGCTGAAGGGTGTAGTTAAAGTGATGGGGGAAGGTTGAGGACTATCTAACCCATGTGTGTTCTCTAGTCATCAGGAAGTCGAGAGGTGTACATGTGTCACAGGCTTGATAACACACACTAACACACACTTGCCTTCACAGCAGGAACAACATGAAAATTATGCTACACACCGTAAACAATGATGTTCACAAGTTCAAAACAATGATTATTGGGGTATGTTACAAGAATGTACTATTTATTCTTCTAAATGTCACATTTAAATCAGTGTTGCATGCCGTTTCTCTGTAATTAATCTGTTTTTGAACAAAAAAATGTGCGTTTTTTTTATTTTACTTGGTAAAGGTTTTGCCACTTGCTGTGTGAACACGGAAAACATCACGGACATGATGAAGACGTTAAATGGACCGAATAAAATAGTCCCACTGCTGCTCGCGGTCGGAAATGAGACAAAGTTCCTCTAGTGGAAGCGTCTGGAACTGCAGCCGGACACACTCTCAACGAAATCGAATTTTTTGAGATATCAACAAATTATTTGATATTTAGATAGAGATATTTGATATTAAAATTTGGAACACAAACTTTTCATGCAGTTTTAGATTAAAACGTGATTTTGAAAATATATATCTCATATAAAAATAGAAAATAATTTTTCCTAACAGTAAATGTAAAATTCTGCAACTTTTTTCCAAGTTCATTTAAAAAAAAAACTTTTTTCCGTTCAGCAATCATCTGCCGAGTGTCGTCTTTGGGAAGAGATCAAACCTCAGTCTGATTAAGATCTACCAGTTTAAGCTCAAAACATGAATAAATGGATTATAAATACAGCGTAAATATAAGTTAGTACCATAAAATCCCTTCAAAATACAAAATATTAAATTAAAAACATTATATAACTAAAATATAATACATTAATTTGATTGACAAAAAGTGACGACACATGAAGAGCACCAGAGGCTTTTTTTTTTATTGAATTATTGGAACTTTAAACGGTTTCATATCCACTGCAAACGAGTGTTTGAGTCCATCTGCCCCAAACCAATGTGTTTATGAGCAAAATAACACCGGATAAAGCTCAGCTATGATCTATTATTTTGTCATAATCATACTCTGCTTGTTCATTGGCCAGAGGAGAACTCAGTTTCTCCGTTCTGTCACTGATGGAGTTTCGGTTCTGGCTTTCGTCTTGTTTAGTTGTGGACAGTTCATTTCATATTCAGCAATATTATTGATCTCCTGCATTGACAGTATTATACGAGTACTGAGCTGAGCTGGGCGATGACATCACAGGCTCCTCCAGAGCGGCTGCATATATATATATATATATATAACTAAATGAATAACTTTTTTCTAAGCTTTTTTAAGCAGGACTGAGACTCTCTTCTGGACACACACACACACACACACACACACACACTGCTGCGTTATTCACCTGTTATCTGTGTAAAGCGCCTCTGAAAAGATCTGTATAAATAAAGATGACTTGACCTGAATCTATTCTCCTCATCCCAGATCAAGTGAAGAGGGCATGATGTCACTCAGTGTGTCTGGTGGCTGATGGGAACGTCACATGACCCTGATGATGCTGATGCTGTCTTCTCTGCACAGGAGGCCATTTTGTTCCAGATCTGTGTCTGTGTGCAGGAGACAGCCTGACCAATGACAGATCAGTGTGCCTGAAACACACACTCAGAGACACGACCTGCTTCAACACACACACACACACACTCCTCCTCCTCTTTGTCTGTCTCTGCTTGTGCAACTGCAGGTTTTGGCTGTTGCCATCTTCGCTCTGCTTTAAGTGATTTTCCTCTAATCAGAAGAGCATGTGACTCTCTGCACGCGCACACACACTGACTGAGAGCGGGGAGATGTTAGTGTGTGTGTGTGTGATCCAGAGGCTCACATCGCGGATTCTTTGGCCAAAATCACACTGAATCGGACATTTTCAATCACTTTCATATGGAAATACTTCAGATGTGATTTTTGTCATATTTCATGCAATGGAACTTTACATTGATTTTTTGATTTAGCCATGGCAGAATTACTGAATAATTTAGAAATTGTAGTATAGTACCACAGTATTAATATCTATTATATATTAACTATTAGAATATTACATTTTTAAAGTAAATTTTTTGTGTGTATATATATATTTTTTTTTATTTATTTATTTATTTATTTATTTATTTACTATTGTGATGCATACGTCATCAGAAAAGAGAGTGAATATTTTTGATTAAATATATGAAGAGTTCAGATGCAAAAGCTATATTTAAGTTCAGTGATTTCACTTAAATGGCAATAATAATTACCAATTAATTGTTATTTAAGTGAAATTACTGAACTTAAATATACAATTTTGGTAAAAATCATCATTAAAGAAGAAAATTTCAAATGGGATTTAGAGGCTTTTGCATCTGAACTCTTCATATATATATATTATTTCATGGTGATGATGTTCTCATAATGAGGATCAGATTTAAAGCATCACCAACATCTGATACGATACACATCAGAAAGGTCATGTTAAAAATACATTGATTTGAGGAGAAGATCATAACTGGAGTGTGACTGGAGCCTCATGCGTTTGTTGAATGATCAT